ACACTTGCGGTAAGCCTGGACAAACTGACTCAGCTGCTTCTGTCCTGAATTATTATATATTGACTGTAAAGGGAAAACACAGCAAGTAGGCAGTGCCAAAGCAAGGAGGAGACAGGAGAAAGGGAGATGAGGAAATGCTGGAGAGAAAATGGGATGCCATGCCGGGCAGTGGCTTACATGTCAGGGGTGTAGGAGCACATAACCAAGGCACTGTTTGTTCTTGCTCAGTTTTGGAAAGGAGGACTCCAGTTTGTTGTGGTTGATCCTCATCCCAGGTACACTTTGCTGGAAGAACTGTGCAGTTGCAGAATCGATTGCTTTGGAGGGTGGTGGGATCTCCTTCTTTGGAAGACTTTCAACAGAACTTGGATGGTCATCTTTCAGGAGTTCTTCCTGCATGGCAGAATGGGGTTGGATTGGATGTCCCTTGGGGTCCCTTCCACCTCTAAGGCTCTATGGTATTCAGTTCTTCGTCCCACTAAGGTCAAGCCTTCTGTCCTTTTGTTTGCCCTCTTAGAGGTGTTCCCACAGCCTGGTGCCCACCACTGAGATCTACTTTTGTCAGATAATTGGACCTGAAGAGCAGACAGAAGGCATCAGAGGCAATCTGCGGGTATTTTTATTCAAGCTCCCCAGTTGGGGAGCTTCTGGGGACCCGGCTGTCTGATATATTATTAATCCGACATGCTCCGGCACTTCTCCTGCCTGAATTATTGATGGATGCCTGGGCTTCTCCATCTGTAACAATTAGCCTTCCTTGGCTCAGAACACTTGGAAGGCAGCAGGTTGTGTGTGTCTCTGACTTTTGTTCCTTCTTCTTCTACCTGCACCCTCCCTCTTCTTTGGCCTTCAATTTTCTCAGTTTTCTCCTGTGTGTGTGTCCCGTTCCCAACTTAAGGCAACCCTGTCATGGGGTTTTCTGGGGCTGAGAGTGTGTGACTCACCCAAAATCATTCAGTGAGTTTCCATGGCTGAGCAGGGAATCGAACCCTGGTCTTCTGAGTCGTAGTCCGAAGCCCAAACCACTAGTCCATGCTGCTTCCTATAGCACTTTGGATTGTGTATTCTGTGTTTTGTAGTATTACTGCAATGTGGTTACTACATATAAATACATGATCACTGTATATATGTTAGAGTTGTAGTTTAATTCCTTTGGGACATTGTTGTGACATAGTTCATTACATTATCAGCTTCTCCCTTCTGTTCTTTCTGTCTTCAGAATCGTACATCTTGTGGCTGTGCACCTTCAAATCGTTTCTGGCTTATGATGATTCTAGTCTAAGATGACCCTATCATGGGATTGTCTTTGCTCGGAGAGGGTTTGTCATTGTGCTCCTCTGAGGCTGAGAGAGTGTGACTTGCCCAAGGTCACCCAGAGGGATTGAATGGCTGAGCAGGGACTCGAACCCTGGTCTTCAAAGTCATAGTCCAATGTCCAAACCACCACATCACCCTGTTGCCTTTGCATCCTTAATTCTCTCTCCCTCCAGCCTTTTTTTCTGGTTACGAATTTCTAACAGAAGAGGTGCACAGATCTTGAATACCCTGCAAGGAAGCCTTTGGCTTCCCCTAGAATAGAATCGTTGAATCATAGAGTTGGAAGAGATCAGAAACAGAAATAACACGAGAAGAATAGGGATATGTACCTGCACCAGAATCCTAGAGGTGGAAGAGACCCCAAGAGGTTATCCAGTCCAACCCTCTTCTGCCATGCGGGAACATACAAGCAAAGCCCTCTTGACAGATGGCCATCCAGTCTCTGTTTAAAAACCTCTAAAGGAGACAACCCTGGCAACTGGTATAGTATTATATGAGAGTGATTTTTTAAAAAATTGATTTTTTAAAAAAGAAGAAAACCTGTTCTTCCCCCTTGAAGAGAGATTGCTCCTTCTTCCAGTAACTCCATGGGAAATCAGAAGGCCATGCTGCTGAATCAAGGATCCCACTTTATGAGAAAAAAAGCACAATTAAACAAAGGATCTGTTTTTAAACAAATGCTCTGTTTCGATTTTGCAATAGACCAATTCCATTTGGATTGTCACTTTTGCAAGTTTTTAACTGAATTTTTGCAAGTTTCTATTTATACCTTTTTTTAAGACTATAATTCCCTTTGGATCCCTTTTTTTGGGGGGGGGGAGGAAACAGGATACAAATTAATATAACAAACAAACAAACAAACAAGTGGGATTTTTGATTTGATAGCCTGGCCTTCCGATTTCCCCTGAAATTACTGGGAGAAATAATTCCTCTTCGAGGGGGAGGAAAGGTTTTCTTTTTGAAAAGAGATCTTCCAAAGGAAGGAACGAAAAGCTTTTATGCACATAAGCCTGCTTTTAAATTGATAGCGGAAAACTCTTAGGATGGCATCTGTGGTAAAGCTAAAACACACACAGATGAGAACCAATAACATCACTGAAAAGCAAGGAAGCTGAAAACAGTGGAAGCTACATCAATATTTTCACAGCAGAAGACAGATATCATAGCACAGAGAAGAGCAAATGGAAATATTTGAAAACAGAGCATAGGCAATTCTGGGGAGAGTGAAGGAGAAGAGGCATTGTTACTTTGTCTGAATCTATACTCCAATCTTGCCTTTTATTTGGAGGAGATCTAGAAACAATACTCCTAGGATCATATTGGCTTTTTTAGCTGCTGCGTCACACTGTTGGCTCATGTTCAGCTTGTGGTCTACTAAGACGCCTAGATCCCTTTTGCATGGATCGTTGTCAAGCCAGATGTCCCCCTTCCTAAATATGTGTATTTTTATTGTTCAACTGTAGTATCCTACATTTCTCCATGCTGACATTCATTTTGTTAGTTCTGCCCCAGTTCTCTAATCTGTTAAGATCATCTTGAACTCTGATCCTGTTTTCTGGGGTATTAGCTTGTTGTTGTGCACCTTCAAGACATTTCCGATGTATGGTGACCCTAAGGAAAACATTATCATGGGATTTTCTTGGCAAGATTTGTTCTTATTCGGTGTCATTTGCAAATCTGATAACACGGCCCTCTATTCCATTGTTGAATTGCTGACTTGAGGGCAACATTTCTTCTTTCAGAAATGATGATGAAGAAGAGGAGAAGAGATGACGCATGTAGTTCATTCAGGTGAAAAAAGAAACATCTCCTAAACTTTTCAGACCGCAGGATGATGGTTTGTTTCCTACTCGTTGTGAGGATATGGGTCCAAATATTTGCTGCCTGACATTTCTGTTCAGCATCAGCATTTTCCCTCTGCAAAGTTCACAAGGCATGTCAATATTTGATGGGATCTGACAGTGTTTGTGAAGCTGGAGACAGACAAATGTGAGGAATCCTTGACAGCCATCACACCACGACCGGGAAGATGGGATAGGATTTTGTTAAATATTTGTTGTGATAGAAAACCAGGGCATTAATCCAGTCTAGTTTCTTCATGTATTCAATGAACAGAAGCGCTCCATTTCGATGCTCCATTTCAGGTTTGGAAAGTATAGTCTAATGCAATGGTTCCCAAATGTTTTGGACTTCAGCTCCCCGAATCCCTGCACATCAAACTGTCTGGAGCTTCTGGGAGTTGAAGTCCTAAACACCTGGAGGTCCAAGATTTGGGATTGGTGGTTGTTGTACACCTCCAAGTCAGGTTTGCCTTTGCCTTCCCCTGAGGCTGAGAGAGTGTGACTGGCTCAGGAACCAATGGCCTAATGCTATGGTTAGTCCTGATTAGAGATTACAGTAGAAACATTGAATCGATAAGATGTCCCTATGTGTTGACTCACTATTCAACAATTGACTCAATAGGTCGACTAATTTTTGTTCCCCACTTCAATCCATTGGATTCAGGCTTTATAGGAGATATCCAAGTAGCTACGGAAACCCACTGGCTGAGCTTGAGCAAGTCACACTCTCTCAGCCACAGATCATGGCAAAGGCAAACTCTCTGAAGAAACCTGCCAAGAAGAAACCTGTGATACGACTTCGCCGTAAATCAGAAACAGCTTGAAGACACATAACAACAAGTTGCTGAATGACTTGTCAAGCTATCCTAAAGGGTTCTCCAAACTTATAGAACCTTTTGAGGCACTATCCAAAGCACTGAAGCTCTTTTAAAGGTGCTACCAGAGTGCTGGAACCTCTTTAAAGGCGCTATCCAGAGTGCCAAAACCCCCTTTAAAGGTGCTGTCCAGAGTGCTGAAACCTCCTTCAATGGCGCTATCCAGAGTGCCAAAATCCCAATTAAAGGCACCATCCAGAGCGCTGGAACCATCTTTAAAGGCGTCATCCAGAGTCCTGAAACCTCTTTTAAAGGTGCTATTCAGAGTGCTGGAACCCCCTTTAAAGATGGTCTTCCAGAGTGTCGAAAACCCTCTAAAGGTGCTATCCAGAGTGCTGAAGCCCCTTTTAAAGGAGCTATCCAGAGTCCTGAAACTCCTTTTAAAGGCGCTATCCAGAGTTCTGGAACCCCTTTTAAAGATGCCCTTCCAGAGTCCTGAAGCCCCTTTTAAAGGTGTTATCCAGAGTGCTGGAACCCCATTTAAAGACGCCCTTCCAGAGTGCTGAAGCCCCTTTTAAAGATGCTATCCAGAGTCCTGAAACCCCCTTTAAAGGCGCTATCCAGAGTTCTGAAACTCTCCGAGGGCTACGTTTCAGCACTCTGGATAGAGGTTTCTTTGTAAGAAACCCCAGTGTGGAGGATTCACCGCACCCACGACATGGAAACTGCGACAGGGAAACTAGCGTGCCATCACTTTGGGAAGTCGTGGCAAGGAGGTTTGGATGGCAGGGAGACAAGTCTGTATTGGGAAGAGAGTGAATTAATCATCTGGCATCTGTTTAGCGTCCCATGAGGCTGGAAGGAAATGTCGCAGCAGGGTGCCCTTGCAAGCAATTTCAAGAGATTCATTAACTGGGGGAGAAGAATCTCCTCCTTATTCTCAGTCCTTCCTTCCCCCCAACACACCATTTCTCCATTCTGGTCTGTTCACAAATAAAGCAAGCAAAGGGAGAAAGGGGATGGCTTTGATGGAGA